TGGGGTTCGGGAGCGGTTCGGGGGCTGGCACCGGCTCGGGGTTTGCCTTCGGGGCTGGCGGTAGCGCCGGGTACGGGTACGGGGCGGGAGGCGGCCTGGGTGGGGGCGCTGGCGCTGGGGCGGGCGCGGGTGGCAGGTTCGGGTACGGGTTCGGGGCTGGTGCTGGGGCTGGTGCTGGCGCTGGCGGGGAAGCCGGCGGGGAAGGCAGCATCATATTCATGGGGAACGAGAAACAGCTGATGCACGGGCTGAACGACCGCCTGGCCGCCTACCTGGAGAAGGTGAGGAGCCTGGAGGCCACCAACAAGGAGCTGGAGGAGAAGCTGCGCAATTTCACGGTGTCCAAGGTGCAGACCCACGACCTGTCCGCCTACGACGCCCAGCTGAAGCCGCTGAGAGAGCAGGTACCGCAGTCTTCCTCGCAGTCCTTCCCTTTCCCAAGAGACCGGGCAATACAGACTGCCCGTGTGCGAGGAGAGCCGAATTCCCGCACACAGCGTTTTGTTGAAAAAATGTGTATCATCGCGGAATGGATCCACGCTCATTCCGAGAACAGGGCTTCATCGTGCTCGGATTGACCAAGGCGGGCGCGACCCGCGTTTTCCCGAACCACGAGTCAGTCAAACCGTTATACCCGAAAAGGAGCACGCTCGTGTTTCTGTGGTCGCAGGGATTAGCCGTATTTAAACAAGGCTGCCTGCCAGCTGTAATTCGCTTTGTGTGGGTAATACCCAGCGCTAGTTCATTGTAATCCTGACTGATGCGTCTGGAAGGCGCTATCTGCATAGTCCTGGCATGCTGCCCCACCCCGATCTTCTCTTTAAAACGCCTTTTCAAGTTTTTAAAAGAAACGTGTGGCTGTGCAGGCACGCATTTAGAAATACTGCGCGCAACAGTGCTGGTTTAGATAGTTCTGTGGCGTCACTTTGATGAATCGATGACTGATATCCAGCTTCTTTTCTTGCTCAGTATGCAAGCGGTTTGAATCATTCTGCACCTAGACACAGAGGTACCGTACACAGACGACAGCATGCCTGTGTTACCGTCTGCCTGTGTTACTGTGTTACAGTCGTCCTACAGCCTGTGCCCTGTCCTTCCTAGACTTGTCTCATTGTTCGCTCCTCCTCCTCCCTGTACAGATCCTGGCCCTTATCCAGGAGAACTCCCACCTGGCCCTGGAGATCGACAACTCCAAGCTGGCCGCTGATGACTTCCGGAGCAAGTGAGTAGGAAAAAAAAAAAGGGAGAAAGAAAAGGTTACCCTGCAGAACTGACTCTGCAGCAAGATCACCAACGCCGCTTCTTTACGCGAAGAGTTGTGGGGGTGGGGGACAAGCTGCCCGGTCATGTCACTGGCTTCTCTCGGTCAGTTTGCCACTAGCAGATCTGCAGGGACACTCGGCACACAACTGCATGCAGCTGTAGGTCACGCAAGACACGACCAAAACACACTCAAGCTACTGCAGAGCCCGGACTCCCGCATGTCAGGGGTGATCCCGTGGGGCCTGATGTTCACCCTCCAGTGGGTCTTCCTCCGTGAACGAGCGTGATGCCCCCCCAGTCTCTGAGCGTGCGGCATGTGACGTCTGTTGCCGCCTGTCATCCACCGTAGGGGGGTCTCAAGGGCCGCTTAAACCAATTAAACCAATTCACAGATGCGGAGGACCACCTATGACTACGTCCGCTTCTTACCCTGTAAAATTCATCACCTATTAATGTACTGAAAATAACTAATATCGAATTCAATTTCATGACAGTACTAATATTTTTACGAACAAAATTGCATAGTTTGCAAACGTTTTTTTATTGCTTAAAAAGTTAACGTGAGGAAAGGAGTGGCTAAGACTTGCTTAAAGAAAGATGACTATGTCAGCCCGCGGACCACCTGGCGCGTGCTGGTGGACCACCACTGCTCTAGAGGACACAGCCATGCCTGTCCCTGCCTGCCCAGGTACGAGACCGAGTACAGCCTCCGGCAGGCGGTGGAGACCGACATCAACGGGCTGAAGGGCCTGAAGAAGGAGTACGAGATCACGCAGAGCACCCTGATGCAGGACGTGGAGGCGCTGAAGGAGGAGATGGACTTCCTGCGCAAGAACCACGGGGAGGTGAGGCGGGGGCCATGGGGAGCAGGGAGAGGGGGGTTGGGCAGGGTCGGGGGCGGGGTGACAGAGTTGGGGCGCTGACCCCCGTGTAACCCGTGGCGACAGGAGCTGGCGAACCTGCGGGACGAGATGTCCGGCACCGTGCACGTGGACCTGCAGGCCATCACCGGGGTCGACCTCAGCCGCGTCCTGGAGGACATCCGCTCCGAGTACGAGGCCGTGGTGCGCCGCAACCAGGACGACGCCGAGAGGTGGTTCCTGAAACAGGTGGGCCGGTCTTTAACCCCCCTCACACCTCCCACCAACAGTCTTCCAACGGGTGGGCTGGTCTTTAACCCCCCCACACTTCCCCTGTGTGGCCACATTGCCTCCCCCGATCACCAGCAAGCACGCAGCCATCGCTGGTCCCAACATCCGGCCCCAAAAAGTCCAGAAAAACTCCATAAACTGAAACTATATACTGTAAATGCTCCTGCTCTGGTTTGAATGTTAAAGTTTTACTTTACGCTTAAAACAACCGAGCTGTGTTTTGAAGAATGCAAGCTGGTGGACCAGAGGCGCCTGAGTTTCTCACCAGGCGACAGGCTCCAGGTCCCCATTCTCCGTGCCCATGTGGACACTGGTTCCGGACTCTTGTCAGGGTCACTGGCACACCCATGTAGACCACGCCCCCACTGACCACACCCTCACTGGCACACCCATGTAGACTACGCCCCCACTGGCCACACCCTCATTGGACACGCCCGTGCAGGCCACACCCTCACACTTCCTGCTCTCGCCCCACGCAGGCGGGGATCACGCAGGAGATGGATGCTCAGAGCACGCAGATGGTGAAGACGGACCAGACTGAGTTCACCGAGCTGCGCCGCTCATCGCAAAGCCTGAGTGCCGAGCTAGAGGCCCTCAAGGTTTCGGTAAGAGGCGCAGGAGCTATGCAGCTGGTGTCTCCTTGGTGACGGGGCCCCCAGGAAGTCTACCTCTTGCTTGAAGCAAAGCGCTGTGTGTCAGCGTCTGGTCTTGCACAATCTCTTCTGCTTCATTTCTTTCTAGATGCAGCTGATGTGGTTGGACAGCTCTTCATCAATTTGTAATTCAGTAATGTCATGTACTATTTACACACACACACACTGCCTATTTAAATGCCTTGGGGCAACCTTGTTGTGAAAGGCTCTATATAAAAATACATTGAATTTAATTAACTTAACAAGGGTTTTCTTAAAGAAAGAAATGTGTTTGTGCCTGTCCCTTTTCTGGGCTCAGTTTTGCACTATAATTATATTTCAGTGGTACTTCTTAATACATTCCTGTCAATACCTATTAAACCAAAGAAAGGCAGAGAGGTAAAATTCTACAAGAGGAATTGCACATCTATTAGTTGCTAAGACATTTCTTTTGTCCATCTGTCCCAGAAAATGTCCCTGGAGGAGAGGCTGTCGATGACGAACGCCCGGTACCAGTCAGAGCTGCAGCAATACGCGGTGATGGTGGGCGGCGTCGAGGAGGAGCTGTCATCGATCCGCGAAAGCATCACCCTGCAGTCCCAGGAGTACCAGAGCCTGCTCAACCTGAAGATGAAGCTGGAGATGGAGATCGCCACCTACAAGCAGCTGCTGGAGGGGGTGGAGTCAGGCACGGGAGGCGGGGCAAGGTGCGTCCTGATTGGTCAGCAGGGGGTGGGAGGCGGAACGTCCTCTCAGACCTGCTGGACTGTGTGCTTCTACTTGTTTTGTGCCGGTTGGAAATCTGTGCAATACAGTCTCGAACCTCTTTTTCCAAGGAAAAGAGGAAAGACTGGATCTGTAGTTTCATTTTTCTGTTGAGGTTGAGTTAGAAAAGCGTAGTCGATTTTTTTTGGAAGGAGAACACCAGTGCCAGCGGCTGTGCAAGTTTGGACGTGTCAGTTTAAACTTAAAATGAATCCATCTGAAATCGGGATTTAAAACCAGAAAACAGTTTCCGTTGATGAAGCCAGTTAAGTAACTAGCCTGTTTTTGTTCCTTTTAGCGTCACCAGCAAATCGAGCACCACGACTTTGAGCAGTTCGAACGGGTCGAGCAGCTCAAACTCTACGAGCAGTACCACCACCACCACCACCACCACCAGGGTGGTGAAAGGTAAGAGCCGTTCACCTCGAGAGCTGGAAAAGAATGAGCCCGAAAACACCATTAAGGCAGATACACAGTGCTCCCCAGTGTCCAGCTCTGCCCCACTTGACCTCTGACTTCATTTGTTGAATAATTTATTTTTTAAGCATTGAAGTGACCCGTGTTGCTGTTAGTGGTGTTGGTAGACCAGTAGGTGGCGCTCTTCCCTCTGGCCCAGAATTTCTGCACCAGTGCCCCAGCATGGTGACCGAGTCTGTTCTCCTGATGGCACGTTAAACAGAGGACCTGACCTAATGTTGTCTCCCTCTTCCCCCTGCAGAGGAAACCACCCAGGTCGATTCCTGAGCTGTCCGCGGATGTGCGCCGTAGCGACACCGAGGTCTTAGTGGAGCCAGCCTGATGGAGAGCGGCTTCTTCTACCGCTGAGCAGTAAAAAAATAAAGAGAGCCTGGGCTCAGTTTCATGGCAGTGCTTGGTCTGTGGTTTTTCTTTCCTCCTGCATGGTGGCTCAAGGACAGGTTCCACATGAGCGATTTAGTGACCAGTAGCTGCAGGCGCACAGAGGCAGGGCGTTTCCCCTTTGGATCAGAACTGGTTGTTCCGTCACCCCTGGGGCCTGGCTAGGGAAAACAAAGAAGGTCCAAGTCAATACCTTGATCCAGGGGTCACCACATGGACACCCCCCCACCCTCCCCTAAACAATAAATGCACGAGAAAGCTAACAGGGCAGGTGTGGTCCTGACCGGTGCAGCGCTGGCCCATGCAGAGACCTTGCACTGGGTGTGCTGACTTCAGAGTCTCAATCACCCATCATTCCAGTAACATTGCCCACTGCCGCACGCCATGGTCAGCTCTCTCTGGATTGGCATCAGGCAATGAACCCCTGGAGGGCAGCAGTGGCTAAACCATGCCAGGATGATCGTTTCCACCTCCGAAGCAGGTGCAGATGGCTCAGCTGAAGGTTCATTAGAATTAAAGACAACCATCACTTCAGGTCTTCAGTACTTGGTGCCCTGTGTTATGCCAGGTACTATATAAAGAAATGCTGATCAGGCTGGAGAGACGTATGAGTGCACAGGGAGGGGAGGTGCCCAGGCAGGGCTGACCCACGCTCTGAGAAACATGCTCTCTGCCCGTCTGCACAGTGTCTCACCTCTCCAGTGTGAAACCTGTCGCTGGGGCTCAGGATCCTGTTTCAGAGATGCTGTCAGAAAGCAGATCCCATTCCTCTGCCCTCAATGAGGATTTAAAGCTACAGCCCTGAAGCTGGATACTCTGCGCTTGTTCAGAGTCTCGCCCGAAAGCCTGAGGTCTTGGAAGCCCTGTGTGTGACAACATGGCCTGAAAAGGTTTTGCGTGCTGTATGCCCGTTCCTGAAGGGGATGTGTAAATAATAGCTGTACATTGTGTGCAATGACAAAAGCAGGAGGCACTTCTTTACACAAAGGGAGTCTGGAATAAGCTGCCAGCCAGGTGTTGAAGATGATACCCTGGGTGTCTTTCACGAAACAGCTACCAACCGAGCTAGATCCAGCTGGGATCTAATCTCATGTGAGGTTTCGGTTGTGAAGGGAGAGATTCAGAACTGATTATTGGAGTGGGTATGTATCAGTGGTCTAGAGGCCTATATAAAGCCTAATTCCTGAGGATAGCAGGAACTGGGGCTAGTCTGCCACCTGAACTCTCACCTCACTACTCAATTTAATCTGCTCAAGTGGAGACAGAATATGTAGGAGTTGAAGACAGGTCCTGGGATAAATGTGTATTTCTAGTCCTGTTTTTTTTGGAACAAAATGTCTTTCCTCTCCACCACATTTGTCTCTTGTCTCTTAAAGTAAGCAGAGATAAGCTATGCCTTCTCAGAGAGAGGTGTGCACGCTCGACTGGCTGAGCTTTTAATGAGAATGATTATTCTCTGCTCTTACAAATCCCCCACTCAGCCTCACATTAGCCAAATGAGCAGCACTTATCAAAAGACTGTGAAATGATTGAGTTTTCCCCACAATACTCCAGTCCCCTGAGGAAAGGTCCTGTGGCCATCTTAGACAAGGGTCTGCTACAGGCGCTACAGGGTAGACGGGGGTCTGCTCCAGGCCCTGAGGGTAGACAGGGGTGCCCCAAACTTACAGTCTCTTTCATTAAGTTCTGTCTGTTTTAACCCAGCTTTGCTAGGTTCTGTGGCTATGACAAAACACCAGCGGTAATTTAAAAAATTGCAGTCTGAAAATCTGTTGAAATGCTATAGCATCTTACCAGGCTGGAGTTTCCTCCTTGCAGCAGAGACGTCTCCTACAGCCACTATCCCACCCCTCCCCAGGCAGCAGGTTCTTTACCTCCTGCTGGACTCAGTCCAGGGAACAGCCTCCCCGCTCAAAACACCTCTATTCTGAAAGTGATAACCAGGTGTATTCTAAGTCAAAATGATTCACCTTTAAATAATGAACACGAGAGCCTAGTGATGTTGTTTTTTTAAGTTGTTGTTTTTTTTAAGAAGAGGTTCTTCGTCTCTTTTCTATTTTTTAACTTCATTTTTTTGTCTGAAAATCTCAGATTCTTCCTGCTCTTGATCTAATGTATAGAGCCAGCAGTGAAGTACGGATTGGAGGAAATGGGGGGGTCTCTTGGCCCCCCACATTCCTGAACTTTCATTTTTACTGTCAGTCAGAATGCGACCAGACCTGCTTTGGATAGAGATGTAGGGGTGCTTGGGAAAATCTGATGAAACTACAAAAATGTCTCAGTATAAGCTGGGGACTAGTCAAGAGACAGAGACTTTGTAGCCTCTCTGTAGAAATGACCCCAACACCCCAATGACATACTGCTCAAATCACATCTAAACCACTTATTTCTAAAGACTGGAAACACTGACCGCTTTCTGATCAGCAGTAATAATTTCTGATCATGTAAGCAAGGTATTGAATTCGAGGATCTCAAGAGCTAGATTTCTGTTCCATATGATTTCTATACATATCTCTAATAAAACTAACACAATATTAATAAAATATCATAATGCAAAGGTTAACATTGCTGCCTCACAGCACAGGATTCAATTCCTGGGAGTGCTGTCCGTGTGGAGTTTGTATGTTCTCCCTATGTGTGCATGGGTTTCCTCTGGGTGCCGTGGTTTTCTTCAACGGCTCAAAGGCATGCTGTCGGGTTAATTGGCTTTTGGAAAAATGGGCCTTGGTGTGTGTGTCCGCCCTGAGATGGACTGCTGTCTCTGTCAGGGTGTATCCCGCCTTGTGCCCGTTGCTTGCTGGGATAGGATCCGGCTCCCCTGCAACCCTATACTGAATGAAGTGATGAGAAAATGGATGGATGAAACATCATCAGCCTATCGACTAGCATGTCTGAAGTCCAACTGGTTGCATTCAAGCCAGTTGTATCAGGCTGCAGTTTGGCAAGAGAGAGCATCTGAAGTCCTGAGTGACTTGTGAAGTAAGGACACTGTTTAGCACTGTTCTGCAGAGGCTACTCTGGTGTGTTCTCTGTAAATCAGTGCTTTGTGTGTTAGTACCAGTCCCCGGTAACCAGATCACATAGAATCACAATGTATTGACTGACGCTTGGATCTCCCAGGCTCCCAGAGCTTGCCACTGGCTATCCGGTGTAATTAGGCCATTGTAGCACAGTGGGCTGATGGAGTCATTTTACCATCTCAGAGTTTCATCTTCGTATGCCAGGTGCATTCCTTCACACTGTCCTGTCTGCCCAGAAGGATCAATTCTGGGAGAAAAACAAATTCCTAATCCTAAAGAAAAAGATTCTGAACTGTAATGTGCAGAATATGTTCATGCAAGTTATGAATCGGGGTCCAGTACAGCCCAGAGGCGGTGATACCACAGTAGCATAAAAGAAAATCCTCGAACTGGATACACAAGCTTATAGGGAAGAGTAGCTCACAGCAATAACAATAACAGTAGCTGCAGGACACATGGGAAATTACATTAAAATGATGATCTGCATGCATACAGCTGCAGTGCAAATACACTGGTCTCAAATTCCAGTGAAGAGGCGATTCCTTGCAGATTTCAAAACACAATAAATTCACAATTCCTCTTCCCACAGAGCCTGCTACATTGTTTCGTTCTTTTTAAATTAATGGCTTAGGCAGATCAGCATCCACAGCGACAGCTTGAAGAGCTGGCCATTTACACAGAACAGCATTAAAGCCTGAATTAACTTGCGCAACCCAGGTAGGGTTTCAACCTGCAACCTGGTGGCGGGTTCAGAGCTGTAACCAACACACCACAACGGTGCTGGTCACAATTAACACCATTGTATCACAGGAAAGAAGACGCTGTGTTCACATTGCAGCTCATATCCTACTTCACTGCCGCAAAGACCTTAAGGCTTCCAGCGTGTTCCACTTCCTTGCCAACTGCAAGATTCAACCCCAGACTGCCCCTGTGGGAGGTTTCTCCAAGGGATTTGCATTCCATAAGCCAAAGGCATCATCACAGGAGATGCCCACCGAAGACCCGATTCACACCAAGGGCAAAACCCGTTAATCCATTTAGCACAGTGCAGATTTTGCACACATGCCTTCAACCAATCCGCAAATCTGAGACAACATCACCATAGGAAAGGGCAGAGCTATAAATTCATAGCTGCAGCTTATCAATGCATCCCAGCGCCTGCCCACAGCCAGAACCAGACAAAATGATTCGACAGGACAATACGTTCAATCCTTTTCTCCGTGCAAAATGTGCAACAAGAAGGGGTCTGATATCATTGCAGGGCACTGTGGCATGTGTGCATGTGTGAGTGTGAGCGTGTGTGTGTGTGCGCATGAATGTTTTCTGGTTCCCTGAAACTGGACTGGCCACCGCTGACTTTCAGAGCGAGGGACTGGAGTGTGAGATGGAAGGAGACAGGCCAGAGAGTTAGAGAGTGATTGTCTGTGCGGATGAACAGTCCTGCTTTGAACAGCTCAGTTTACAGAGATCTATCAGCCACAATAGCTATTTTCACAGTCACTGTTTGCTTTTCTAATAATGCCACAGCGTACAGTCGCCTCAGGAACGCCCTGCAAATAGTTGATGGCTCTTAAAGAGATTAATAAATGAACAGATCAACCACAAACATATTTGAGTGAGAAGAGCTGCCTTTCTCTGGAGCTTCAGGGTTCTGGTTAGTTATTGCATTTTTAAGCAGTTCATTGCATACGCCTTGAATATTACCAAGTGTACTGCTACTGCCACTGGTGCTTTAGTGACTTCACTGGTTTATATAAAACACAGTTTACAGTTTCTCACTCAATCTCAGTGTAATACTATGAAACATTTTAAAAAATTGTGCAAGAAAGAAATGTTTTAAACATATGTAGCATGCAATATGTTCTATACACAAGGAATAAACTGCAAAAAGATTTGACTTCATATGTGTGTTTATTTTAGTTACAATATGTGAAACATAATGATTATGCTTTTTTTAACATGTACAAAAGAACAATTGCACAAAAAAAGACGTTGATCTTTCAGTCAGTTCACGTCGTCTGAACGTTTAACTAAAAAAACCCCATTCTGTAATAATGTATTGTCTGAGAGAGTTAAATTGAGGAACATTAAAGTTTTCAGGACTAGACTGAAAGAAGACTAAAGACTTCCCTCTGCTGGCGCATAGGAGCACCTGCAGTGGGATGTTAGAATGCGCCCTGCTCAATTGCAATGCTGTTGCTACCAGCTGACACTGGAGCTGGGAAATTAATTCTGGGACTCATGTGCACTGGACAGTGGGGACCTTCTGAAGTCAGAGCAGTCCTGTCTAGCTGTGCATCTAACCTTACATAAATAAAGCTGCAAACGAGAGCAGGCCATTCAGCCACTCTTGGCCATTTCATAACTTTAGGTCCATCTGTTCCTTCAAATTGCAAAAGAGCCTTAAGTTTGCACCTTACCTGCCTGTCTCGGAAGTCCAGTTCCAGACGCCCTTAAAATATTTATTTTTTGTTAAGCTGACCAAAACAAAACGCAATATTCTAAACAAGGTCTTACAGATAAGACATGAGCTTGGGCTGAATATAAATTGAAATGTTTTGCTCTCCACCCAGGCTTTCCCCAGCATGGTGTGATGATGACTGAGGACAGCCTGAGAAGAATCTACACAAACACCCTCCCTGCAGCTCCGTTCCCCAGCGCTGTGCACAGTGTGGGTTCCAACCACCTGGCCCTACTGGTGCTGAATTCATAGGCGTTCTATAATGCCCCACTTGCTGCTTCTGTGTCTACCACTCCCTCCCCTCCTCCTTTCTGCCTGCAAATTGAACTTGTTTGCTAATTAGAATGGAATCTAAGTCATTGATAAGAATCGGGAAGAAGAGTGGACCTAAAATGTGTGCATGCATGCATCTGTGTGTATATGTACCATTTTGTATCTGTGGGTGCATGTATCTGTGGATGTGTACATTTGTCTGTGTAAATGTACCATTTTGAATCTGTGGATGCATGCATCTGTGTATGGGTGTATCTGTGCATGTATCAGTGTGTATGTGTGTATGTGTGCATGTAACTGTGGCTGTATGCATGTGTGAAGAAATTCAATGTGCAGAGACAGAAGGGTTGAGTGTGTCCCAGTGATGCAGACTAGCAGAAGAAACGCTCAAAACTACTGCGCCCAGGAAAGAGAGACAGCAAGAGCTCTGTACCGGTGTATAGGAAAGCACATTTATTGCACCGCGGGGCAGGAATGACTGTGGCTGCTTCCTCTTTGTGCCTCACTGGGTACTGACCTGTGTCTCAACTGAGTGTATTCGCAGAAACGAGAGGGCTTGGAAGCACAGGCTGAGAACAGCTCACATGTGTAGCGCACACCCACACACCTCAGGGACCTTAGGCTTCTGTAAATGTTGACTGGATACTGAACGGATTTCTTTTAACCCCCTGACCAAAACCCGCTGAGCACTGGGGTCGGGAGGAAGATTAATACCAGGATTCGGGTGTGGAAGATTCTTACGATTTGTTTCCGTTTTAGATATTAGGGCCAAGGTTTAAACAAAAGCTGAAGAAAATTACAAATTAAAAACTGAACCTGAATTCCTTTGCTCGGCTGTGTGGCTCAGGGGTGTCAGACTCAATTCCTTGGCGAAGCCAGTGAGGTTTGTGTTCCAACCCCAGCAGCCGAATTAAACATTTCACCTTTTCTTAATCACTAGGTTTTTAATGGTTGGCTGCTGACAACATTCCTTTGATTAAAGAGACAGTCACCTGTGAAACACCTGGGAGCCTGGTTGGAGTCCCTCTCCCAGTGCAAGTTAATTAGTAAGGGGTGATGCCTGGCTCTCTGGGAATGGAGTTTGACTCCCTGCTAGTAGATCCTAGAGTCTTGTGCCGATTGCCTGTAATTCTGAGGGTTGCGATTCCTCACAGTGATGCGGGAGTAGACAGGGAGCAGTGCAGATCCTTGCTCGACGTTTTAGCGATAGTGTCTCTCTTCGCACCCGAACCCCTGAGCTCAGGCGTCAGCCCGCTCGAATCCACGCCTCAGCGGCTTGACTGCCCCCTGGTTGTTTAATCGTTCCGACTGCGGGAGATGACGTGACGAAGGATGGGCTGGGGAGGAGAGCAGGGCGCGGGCTCAGCTCTGCGCATACACTCCAAGCTGTGGGGATGAGAAGCTTTGCGGTGTGGGTCCAGGACGCCCTGCACACATTTCCTGTTCCCTCCCTCCCTGGACGGCTGAGCTCAGGCGGACACTGTGGCATCGCTGGGGGTCTCCTCCTGCGTTGCGCAGACCAGCTCCCCCTTAGAGATGTACCACACCTCGTTGCGTCGGTTGAGCAGTTTCATAGGGCTGCAAGTGAGCACCACACACAAGAGAGGAGATGCTGTTACTGCGCACACCACTAGAGGGAGCCATTATCCCTGAAAGAGCATCGCCCGACTGCCACCTGATCGCAGTCCTCAGGGGTCTGTGCTTCAGTGCTGATGCTATGCAATTATGGCACATCTCGCCTGCTGAGTTCCACTGCCAGGGGTGTGATACCAAGGCAGTGTCCACTAGAGGGCGTTACTGGTCCTAGGTTAGTAATAGATAACAGGCGTCTTGTCGCTGTGCTCTGTGTCACTGTCACGAGACACTAGCATGATAATAATCAGGGGAATGTCTGAATGTGCACAGGGGGAACGGTCTGCTGGTTAATTGGCAGGCCGGGGCACAGTGGGTTGCTCAAGGTCAGCAGGTGAATCGGTCTACTGAGATACGTGCTCAGCTGTGGGAGCAGGTTGTACTCACTTCAGAGGAAACAGCCTCTCTCCTGGGTGTGAGGAGGGCTGGGGAGGACTGTTAGTTTGTGCCCCAGCGTCAGTGAACTATCTGAGCTCATGGGTTTGAGGGAAGTCCTGTGTTTGTGGTGATTTAACTGTGAGAAACAGCTTCCCAGTATAGACACGATATTCATGAACCGTAAAATCAATGAAAGAAAAGCTGTACAATGACGAGCAATCAAAACCAAAATAAATCACTTAAAATGTCAATTGAGGCAACAAAAGGTTTAGAAATTGCAAATCTTAGGTGAATTGTTACCACCAAAGGGCCTGTCTGCAATTCACAAAGCAAGTTTATGGGAAAGGTGTTATCCCTAATTTTAACTTGGCTTCAGACATGTCAGGTTATAATGGAAAAAAATATGTGAGCTGGAAATCTACACTACCTGCTCATATATATATATAACCAAACCCTGATGGACCCTACAGTGGATCTGAGTGATGGGACTGCGCCCCCTGCGCTGACAAGGTGAGAAGGCCGATGGTACCTTTGGTAGCCCACGCCGTAGTGGAAGACATTGTGGTAGGAGGCCTGGGTGTTGTTCAGCTCTTTGGCCAGCAGGCGGGAGTAGAGCTTAGAGGTCATGGACAACATCCAGCCCCCATAGCTCTTCACATAGACGGTCATCTCCGGCATGTCAGTGAAGTAGACCTGCAGACCAGGCCAGAACAGCTCAAGACCATGTACTATACCTGCATTTTCACGGTTTACAGTGATAGAATTGCATGCCGGCAGCTATAATCACCCTGCAACTCACAGCTGGCAGCCCACTGACCTTAGCAGGTGTGAGCCTGGTCAACACCTGGATGGGATACCTCCTGGGAAAGCTAAGGTTGCTGGGGGAAGAGATGTTAGTGGGGCCAGTAGGGAGCGCTCACCTTGCAGTCTGTGTGGGTCCTAATGCCACAGTATAGTGACGGGGACACTATTCTGTAAAAAGGCGCTGTCCTTTGGATGAGATGTAAAACCGAGGTCCCAACTCTCTGTGGTCATTAAAAATCCCAGGGTGTTTCTTGAAACGAGTAGGGTATAATCACAGCCTCCTGGCCAAATTTCCCATTGGCCCTAACCAATCATGGCCTCCTCATAATCCGCATCTCTGAACTGGCTTCATTACTCTGCTCTCCTCCCCGCTGATAGTTGGTGTGTGGTGAGTGTACTGGCGCACTATGGCTGCCGTTGCATTCCCCCACAGTCCAAAGTGGGTTGACTGGCTTCTGGAAACGTTGGCCCTGTCGTGTTCGTCTGGGTCTGTGTGTGTGGAGGGGAGTCCCCATTATCTGTAAAGCACTTTGAGTGGAGTGTCCAAAAAAGTGCTATATAAGTGTAAGGAATTATTATTATTATTATTATTATTATTATTAATAGCCATTTGAGCTCAGTGCAACTGAGGCAGGCTGGAAGGTTTGTGCTTTAGGGTCTGTGATGATGTCACAATACAAGACTCACCTCCTCATTGGTCGGCTTGGGGGCTTTCTCCTGATAGGCTGAGGGCAGCAGGAAGTTGATGGTGTACACTGCTGGCTCCAACAGCTTCTTGTCCTCGGGAATGCGGATGATCACGGGGGCGGTCATGTCGATCTTGACTCCTGCACAAACACACGAGAAGAAAAATCATCCCTGAGGAGACTGGATGGTGATTCAGTTCATACTGAGAAGATGAGAAATGAAAGACAAGTAAGGCCATCTTGCTTGTTTGGCAGGTAATTGATCTGAGGAGGCACAGAGGTTAGCATCGCTTGGGTGTTATCTGTATGGAGTTTGTATGTTCTCCCCCTGTTTGCATGGGTTTTCCCCCACAGTCCAAAGTGGGTTGACTGGCTTCTGGGAAACGTTGGCCCTGTCGTGTTCGTCTGGGTCTGTGTGTGTGTCCTGCAATGGACTGGCATCCCATCCAGGGTGTATCCTGCCCTGCACCTGTTGCTTGCTGCCATGCTAACCTGGACCCAGAAATTTATTGAAAGAAGCAGAGTGCTGGTCTCAACAGTTTCTATTCTTGCATTGAGGAAATAAAGTGCTCTCGTCTCTTGAGCTATAGCTGCCTGGGCTTCGGTTCAGGTCTGGCGCCCCCTGCTGACAGCCGGCGTTAGTGATCTCACCGTCCTCATTGGCCCCAGTGATGTATTTATAGAGCCTCATGAAGCCCTTTCCTGCGGCCGTCTCCAGGAAGTAGGCCTGCACGTCCGTAGACACCCACTTCGTAGCGTCATAGTGGCGCACCTGCGACACAGACACACGTGTCGCTCACACTGCTGGTGGCTCTGGGGAGACTCTTTCTAACGCTGCACTGAGATTTGCAGAACTTTTGTGCAAAAAACAGCCCCAGCCAATCAACCTAGTTAGTTAAGAACTCATCTGGATCCATATGGATCTGCAAGGCCCTGATCTAAGACAAGAATACATGTTGTCCATCAGCAATGCAAACAGTCTGTACCTGAACTAAGCAACCAAATGCACTTTAGGAAAAAGTGTAAGAAGACTTCCACTCTGGGGGGGGGAGTAGCGAGAGAGGGGACCTCACCTCATAGTTCGGCGTTTTGCAGATCAGGTCGAAAAAAAGACACTCCTTGGTCTCCGTACAAAAGCTAGACTCGCTGGAATTGCTCGGGCTGGGTAAAGGAAGCACAAACAGCGAAAAGCAGTGAAAGAAACTCTCGGCCTCGCGACAAAAACACAGCCGTCATGAACGAATGCTCACACTTGACATGAAATCAGTTTAGTGGGGGCTGCTATCACGCAGCGCTGAGGGCCCTGGGCTTAATTGCTGGGGTGCTATCTGCGTGGAGTTCGCATGCTCTCCCCATGAACACTGGCTGGTTAGTTGGCCCTGGTGTGAGTGTGTCTGTGTGTGCCCTGTGATGGACTGGTGTCCTGTCCGGGGGGTACCCTGCCTTGTGCCCATTGCTTGCCAGGACAGGCTCCAGCTCGCCTGTGACCCTAAACTGGATGGATGCCGTTATTCTCACCAGGTCTGTAAACTGGCCAGTCCAATGTAGCCTGTCCTAGACTGGTTTGTACCCACTGCAAGGAGTCAATGTGGAGGGTCTGTGTCTGCGAATGTGCTGTGGGAGCTGGAGAGACGGCTGAACAAAATCAGAGAAACAGGGAAATGACGCAGAGAGACACGGGAGCGAAGCTGAGACACACAGGAATGAAGCTGGGGGATACAAGAAACAGCTGTAGACGTTCTGTGTGGACCCTTCTACCGGGCGGAGAAGTGAGAGGTCTGGAGGGTGGAGAGGTGTGTGAAGGCCTGTTTGCTGGACGGAGCTGGTCCTCAGTTGTTTCTTGTCTCGCCCAGCTTCACTCCCGTATCTCTCTGTGTGAGCTACGCCGAGTCAGTGTGGGGGGTCTGTGGTTGGGAACAGGGCACTGGAGTCTGTGGAGGAGGGGCTCCTTCTTCACGCTGGGAGTAAGAGAGAGCCGGGCCGGCCCGGTCCTTACCCCACGGCCGCGTCGGATACCAGGAAGAGCGCGAACACGGCCAGTCCTGCCAGCGCCCTGGAGGAGAGGAGGAGGAGGGAGAACGGACATGAGCATCCGGAGCGGGACCTGCTGCCAGCCGCATGGCAGAGCGGAGCGGGCCGATCTCATCGCTTACGCTGGATGACAGACACTTCCTGCAGAACTTCATCAAACACACACACTTATTTTGTCAAGCCTAAGAGGTCTCTAATGAAACAGTCTGGATGATCTATTTGAAAGGTTTGTCATTTTTCCCCACTATTATCAAATACATATTGTAGCTTTTTGTGGCTGTGAGCTTACTCCGGGCCAGAGCTCGTTTGCGATCAGGCGATTCTGTCCAGGCAACGTCTTCGGTGAAAGTGATAATTCCAGAAGCCAGCACCGTACATCAAAAAGACAGTAACGGCACCGAAACAGATCGGACGTGCCCACTCTGAGCTAGATGTTTCCTGCTGATCTTGCAGACTGCGCCGGTTTACAGAGACACGCAGAAACGCTGAGTCACACCAGGATCAGGTGTCTGGGCGACACGCTGACCGCAGAGAATCCAGCTGACCGCTCTGTGCCAGCGACAGGCTGGCCCTGACAATGGCCCTGCAGAGGATGTGCCAGTGCCAGGCTGCAGAGTGCCAGCCCTGCCCGACACAGACGCACAGGCTAGGCCAGGCCAGGCGGTACTGCAGTGTCACTGCCAGGCTGTCTTTCATCCCCAATTCCCCTAACAGCTTCTCCGTGTCCCACACCTCTAGCTGTTGCCTTTGCTTGGGCTTCCCCAACGAACAGCTGACCCAGCAGATATTCCCCGATGGATGTTTAGAGGAAAACAATACATTTTAATTGCAGATATGGCTGTGCACGCTAGCATTATCAATTAGAATCGATAGCAACTCCGCCTTAAACCCATACTGTTATTATTTCTGTTACAGAATGCAAAATTATTCCGTTATTCCAAAGCGAGCTGGCGGGCCGAGGCGTGCTCGGTACTTTTCAGATGGGTCACCACTCGCACAGCTACTACTAACTCATGAGCCGGGGGTGTACTGTAGATCGGACAGGGGAAATCTGAATTCAATATTTCATCAGTTCCTCGGCGACGCCCAGAATTGCTACAACAGTTCATCACCTGAAAGTCTCTGGTGCCCTGTCGCCGAGGGCAACTCGATAGCAGGTTCTCTGCACCCGGAAATCTGAGAACTGCTCAGCTAACACGGGACCGGCGCCCGGCCGGCCACCTGTCTCCCGGCCGCGGTCGCCTACAAGCCCACAGAGGAATGAGTCCTCTGAGGAAAATTGAGCTTTCCTGCATCAGTCTTGTTCCACATTCAGATGCATACGCGTTATACCGCAAGATAATCCCTTGTTAACCACCACTGCTACGTCAGATACAGAGCAACGTTTGTAATCGAAGAACTGCGGTTTTCATGCGCAGGGGAGGTGCGGATCTACTCCCTGTCAAGACACTGACGACACGGTCGCGGTGATGAGAGGGTCAAGAGCCCACATCTGTGACTTCACCTCCGGAGCTCTGGCCACGTTTAGCGATTCCTACTCCTCCGTTCACGACGCACAGCCTCTCGGAGTCACTCATAAACTCTTTTTACCGTCACCCGGCTTTAACTCCTGATGCACGGTAAGGTTCTTAAGAATGATCTAAGTACTAGCAGAGCAAGTCAAAGGTTTCTGACCACAACCAGGTACTCCTCTCCAATGCAGACGCACAACGGGGCAAATGCAATTGTTTTAATCGCGAATATTGATCACCCAAATAAAATCTAAGATTTTAGAAACAGATCTGTTTCTTCCCGGCCTCCCACCACAGGCGAGCGGAATAGGATGAAACAGCATTAAGACAGCCTAATGGATCGGTCTGCTACATTCAGCAGGGACGTGTTATGTGACAAAACCAGGGTCACTTTCATAACGAGATAACACTTTCAGAAGAAGTGCCTTTTAGACAGCGGAGCAATAGAATTCAGAAGAGCGGATCAGCGCTTCTTTGCTCCCACAGAGTCGGAACTCTGTCAGCATTAAGCTTTGCGATTACCGTATATCCCGGTAGCGGGCGCGGAGAACGGATTTTCCTACACTGAAGGAGAAAGGCTTCGCGCTTCACCGCGCGCATTTCAAAGGACGAGTTGGAAAGGGCGGCACAGAGGCCGGAACCCGGGTCTCGTCGCCGTCCCTGCCCGGTGTCGGCACTGGGGCTCCGCAGCTTGAGGACTCCGAAAGGCGCTGGTCTGAGGATACCGCCGCGACACCAGACGAGGTCAGTGGACACAGCCCCGGCAGATGCACCGCGACAGTTCTGCGCCCCAGTCCCGTTGCTCTAACAGTACCCCCCGCGGACAAGCGGGCTGCATGCCGAAAAAGCTCGCGGTTTTACGAAAGGGGGCTCCGTACTCACATTTCCGAGAAGTTCCGCGGGCAGTCCCTGTCTTCGCTCCTGTGTGTGAAACGGGCTGTGATGCGCGGCGCAGTGCGGTCCCTACGTGTCAACTCCTGCCCGGGGAGGCGCGGTTAAATAGCTCGCTTACGAGCCGCGTGTCTGTGAGGCCCCATCCCCAAAACAGCGCACACAGCCAGTGAGGACAGGAATGAGCAAGAGAGAGGGAGGCTATTGGCCGCCGAGGAGGAGTTTCTAACTCCAGAATAAACAAAAGCCCCATTTTTACGCAACGAGAGAGAAAAAAAAAGGAGTAGCATCGTTGTGAAAGCTGTTTTTTTCCTCCTTTCCCTACACTAAAAAAAAAAAATCTTATGAAATAGGTTACATAACGGCATATTGGATTGCAGCCCGCAGTGCGTCGGGGTCAGCATCCGGTCTTGGCGTTGGTAGGAGTGATTTTGTCATTTCTATTTTGTTTTTAACCGGAGGGTTCAATTGTCTTGTATTTCAGAGACATGATGAAACATCTTAGGGACTAGAATGGGTACTGTCCGTCCAGTCAAGAGTCCAGTCCTCCCCACCCCCTTTTATCTAACCCCTTGTTATCGGCACCCAACTTTTAAAAAAAAAATAATATCACTTTATTAACCCTTTACAATTTCTTGCATTAGGAATTATCTTTTCACATACCCCAGCATGCTCTCCATGAGACACACAGACCAGGTGTCAGAGCACAGGGTCAGGCATTGTACAGCGCCCCTGGAGCAGTTGGGGTTAAGGGCCTTGCTCAGGGGCCCAACGGAGTACCAACACCACCGTGTGTTCCTTCTCTCTCCTCCCGCCCTTTCCTCTCAGTCTTGTACCACAGCGCGGGGCAGTTATTAAACACAGTGAATCAGGGTGAGGACAGTTCAGTGGAGTTTAACACGGTGAATCAGGGTGAAGAGAGAGGTCAGTGCAGTTAAACACAGTGAAATCAGGGTGAAGAGAGTTCAGTGCAGTTAAACAGTGAATCAGGGTGAGGACAGTTCTGTGCAGTTAAACACTGTGAAATCAGGGTGAAGAGAGAGTTTAGTGCAGTTAAACATGGTGAATCAGGGTGAAGAGAGAGTTCAGTGCAGTTAAAC